CCATATAGTTTTAATATGTATACCCAATTGTATTATAATTTTTAGGATTATTGTGTTTTATTAAGTGTTCACTCTGATAGTGTCTGCTTTTATTAATTTGTACAAATTATGCATTGAGATTTGTGTTTTCATGGAATAATACAGCAATTTTTATTTTTTTCCTGAGATTTATGACTGCTTAAGGAATCTCTCTCTTGATCTGTTTTGTTTTAAAATGAAATGTCTTTTCATAGGTAATTTAGGATCAATAGAATGGAATCTTGACATTTGCAGGCAAATGGATGGAGCTAGAAGAAACCATCCTGAGAGAGGTAACCTAGTCACAAAAAGACAAACATGGTATGCACTCACTCATATATGGATTTTACATATAGAGCAAAGGATTACCAGCCTACAATGCACACCACTAGAGAAGGTAGGCAACAAGGAGGACTCTAAGAGAGACATACATGGTCCCCTGTCAAAGAGGAAAGGGACAAGATCTCTTGAGCAAATTGGGAGCATGGAGATAGGGGAGAAGGAGCTAGGAGAACAAGACGGAGAGGAGAGGAGGGTGAGGAGGACATAAGGAAGCAGGAAGTTTGTGTAGGGGAAGAATAGAGGAGAACAAAATAAGAGATACCATCAGAGAGGGAGCCAGTATAGGTTTATAGAGAAATCAGGGACTAGGGAAATGTTCAGAGATCTACAAGGATGACACCAACTAACCATCTAAGCGACAGTGGAGAGGCTACCTTAAATGCCCTCCACTGATAATGAGATTGATGACTAACTTATATGCCATCCTAGAGCCTTCATCCAGCAGCTGATGGAAGTAGAAGCAGACAGTCACAGCTAAACACTGAACTGAACTGGAATCCAGTTGCAGAGAAGGAGGAGTGATGAGCAAAGGAGTCAAGACCAGGCTGGTGAAACCCACAGAAACAGATGACCTGAACAAGGGGGAACTCTTGGTCCTCAGACTGATACCTGGGAAACCAGCTTGGTACTGATCCAGACCCCATGAATGTGGGTGTCAGTGAGGAGGCCTCAGAAATCTATAGGGCCTCTTATAGTAGATCAGTACTTATCCCTAGCATAGGAATGGACTTTGGGAGCCCATCCCACATGGTAGGATACTTCCTGAGATTAGATACAGGGAATGGGCCTAGGCCCTATCCCAAAGGTTATGACAGACTCTGAAGACCCCCATGGAAGACCTCACTCTCCCCACCCTCCCTGGGGAGCGGAATTGGTATGGGATAGGTAGGGTGTTAGTGGGAAGCAGGGGAGGAGGGGAGGGAGAGAGAACTGGGATTGATATGTAAAACAATCTTGTTTCTAATATAAAAAATGGAGAGAAAAAAAAGAAGAAAGAAATCCATTTGGCTGCCAATTCCAGAGGATAGGTATGTGGTGAGGGTCTTTGTTATTTGTCATTCCTTAGAGGAATGTAGAAGAGCAAAAGTACACAGTAGAGAGGGGAAATGGTCTGAACTCTTTCTTTGGTCTAGAACCCTCTCCTGCCATAACTAATCCCTCTCCAGTAATAACATGGCTAGGTATCACCTAATGTAGACCAGGCTCATCTTGAACTCACCAAAATCCTCTTCCTCAGACTCCCAAGCACTGGGATTACACCTATGAACCAGGACATACAGTATTCAGCTATCTCTTAATGTCCACTCCTTTCTACATTATTGCACGAGGGATTATATTCCAACACAAGGAATTTCGGGGACCTATTCCAATCACAGCATTACATAGATTAAAAAAAAATCACTAGTAAGACCTAGTAGGTTTTAGTGTTTCCATATTTTTTCTGGCATAATGTGTTCATCTGAAACTTACTTTATTTCTAAGTTAGAAATACATGTAGCCTCATTTACGCTTTTTATAACGATAAACTGAACATTCCAGCATCATTTATTAAATATTCCTTCTTCCCACAGTGCCCTGATTTTCAACATCACATCAATTATAAACTAATATTGAATAATGTATTTATGCCTGCATCTAAACTGTTCTTTAATTGATCTGCCATCTATTTCTGAAAAAGTACAAGTTTAAATTTCTGTAGCCCTAAAATAGATTTTGTATCTTGGGTGAATACCTTGCTTCAGCTACCCCCCTCTAATTTTTCATTGTTATTCTAATGAATTGTTCCCTTCATTAATCATGTTGTAATTATGCTAAAATTATATTTGATTTATAGGTTAATTTACAGAGAATTTAATCCATACATTATTAATTTGTTTATTCATAATCAGATCTCTAGCTCAAGAGTTTTTAAAAATTTTAGGTGTTTGAGCAGTGTTTTTCCTAAGTAAATCACAGATTGTTAAAATATTCAACTCCTAGTTATTTTCATTTTTTTCCTGTTATTTCTTAAAATGTGATTTTTGAAACTAATAATGGAACTATAGATAGCTTTTGTAGAAGTGTATTTGTGTGTGTGTGTCTCTTGTGTTGTTATATGCACATCTATGTGCAGTTACATCTGCAGGCCAGCAGAGGACATTAGATGCCCTGGAGTCAGAAATAATGAGCTGCCTAGCATGGGTTCTGGAGAACCAAACTAGGGAGCCATGGTATTTTCTTGTTTTTCCTATGTGTGGGAAAATTATTAGGTTTTGTATATAGCAACCTGCTGCATAATTGCAATGTTCTACTTATGTTTTCATTTATTCTCCTGATGTTTCTGTGTATCTGATCCTATCATGAGTGTTTTGGAATACTTTTTCTCTCCACTTTCCAAATATGTAGACTTTTTTCTTTCATTTGATTTTGATTAGCTAATGTGGTGACTTGTTGATACATGAGATTTGCTGATTTATAAGTATTTTGTCTACCTTCTGAAACTTCTAGGGCACGTTTCTACTTCTCTTCAGAGTGACTAAGTGGAAGACCTATGTGGAAACTGATCATTGCAGTGTACTTGCTGCCAGGACTTAGCATCCATTTCTTTCTCATTTGTATGCAGAATCCAACTTGATTGCTCTTTTACTTTGATATCCTGTCCACCCGCTGTCTTTGAGGGTAACACATGAAGAGGATTCCCTTGGCCTTGCTTTTGATTGTGCATGTCCAAGGCAGAAAGTGTGGTCAAAATCCAACCGTGTAAGCTGGAGAGATGGTTCAGTTGTTAAAGGTTAGGATCACAACCAAAATCCAAATATGCTTTAACTACAATATCACATCTCAGTGTTGGAGCTAAAGGATAGCTAACTGGGCCTTTATCTAGAACTTTTGGTCAATACTGCATCCTGAGATTTGGTACCTGGAACCTTTCAGAAATACTGTGTTCAGTAAAAGATGGGAGGGTTTTGTGCATGAGATTGAGGTTCTTCCATCTCACCCTGAATGCAGATGGCAGCTATTTCTATAGCTTGAGGTCTGGTGTTGTGACTGGGTCTTGACTTCATAGCAGTGGAGATGGTTACTTTCATCTTTTTATTTATTTACTTTATTAATAAGAGTAAGAGAAATGCAAAAAATGACACTATGAACTTCCTTCCAAATGCAGCTGTCTTACTTTATACATTAGCCTCTGACAAGCCCCCTTTTTATCTTATCTTCTTTGATAAAGTTTACTTTGTTTTATACTTTATGAAGAACACAAAGTAAATTCTTTCTATAATAAACACATTCCTATTTTTCTTTTGTTTTGTTTTCTTAATTACTTTTATAGATTTGGTTCTTTCTATCTCACTAGATCATGTTTTGTCAAAAACATTTTGTTAAAAATATTATAACATGTTAATTGGTTTAATTTAGCCATGCCATTGTGAACATACTGTATTCTGTATCATAATTGTGCATGACTTTATTTATGAGCTAAATAAATGAATGAAAAAATATTTCATCTTTATCTAGTTTCCTTATTATTAAAAGTGGAGAAAACTTTTTGGAACTTACAAAATAACAAGTTATGTGTAGTGTCTGTGAAAGTGTCTATAACTGATATGGACACAAGGGGACTGTAGGCTATGCTACTCAGGTTCATGATGGTTGGGTGTCCAGATATCCTAGTAAATAAACACAGTCTAGCTGACATCTATCCAATGCATCCTGGTTGATATGAGATGAATGGAATTTCATTATTGAGAGTTGTCTACTTTTTGCATTATCAGCTGGTACTGTAACTGATGCCAACCACTGGTCCACAGTATTTCTTTTAATTTTCTGACTATTTGAGTATTATTTCAGTCCCATTTTAGAGGGCTTTTTAGTGTCATGAAAGTCAAATAATTATTTTAATTTCTGTATTGTAAATAAGTTTTACAATTTTCTATGTGCTGGGGCTGCTGATGGACAAAACAACTATGTGTATTTGAGGTTTCTGTTGGTATGAATGGTTATCTTAAAAAATTCTATTGTCTTATGGATTATTTCAGTACTGTGTTTAGAAAATTATTAAAGATTCAGAAAGTTTTCTGACTTTTATTAAGTTTCACGGGGGAAATTACAAACTGAATGGATGCTAAGAATGACTATTTTAAGGTTCATGTATTTTTTCCACTAGTACATATTTTTTTATATTTATTCAGAAATCAGTTATCTATAGTATGTCTTGGCTCAGACTTTTGCTCATTAATTTTGTTTGTGCCCCTTGAACAATTTTATTATTCCATAGTTTGAATTTACATCTTAGTTGAAGAAAAGAAGAAAGATGGGAGGAGGTTGTAATAATTACTTTCACATGCTAAGTTATGCATATGCATTTGTCTTGCCCACATTTTGAAATACATGGAACTATTTTTTTTTGCTACTAAGAATATTAAAAGGGGAACAGAAGAGATAGACCAGGGTTCAAGAGTGCTTCCTAAGATGTACACAACAACCTGCAACCATAGTCCTAAGGCATCTAATGCCCTTTTCCAGTCTTCGCTGGTATGCACATACTGAACACGTGCACATATGTACAAAATGAAAATAAACCTTTAAAAGAGGAAAACGTTTCCTTTTATGCTTACTGTTGATATTCCATTTCTCAGCAAGCATTGTGCTTTCATCTGGGACTTGGAAATGTTGAAATCGTCTACAGAAGTGTGAAAACTGATGCTCAGACATACTCCGTGCAAGACTTCTCTCAAATGGAAGTCTCAGAACAGCCGAGTTGGTGTCGGATCTGATTCCCTCACAGATGTTTGTCCTTTAAGGTAATTCATACTAAGGCACTATCTCCATTTTCCTAAATAATCCAAAGCTATTGGAGTGTGTAAGTTAGTCTTAGTGCATATTCATTTACTGGGTTATGATGTCATAGTGAGAAACTGTAATAAATTTACACATGAAATCACAGCCTTAGCTGGGGGGTTCATACTGAATATGGAGGTTACAATGAGCTTGGGGATGTGCAAGATAAAATGTGCAATGAAGCGGAGGTGTTTCTGCAGCACTCTGAAGCATCATGTCATGCCACTGTAGCTTTGCTCTGGGCAGAGAACATATACTTTGCACTAAGCATGTCCCCACACCATACATGGAACACCACATGAAATATCACCGTGTTATGAGCATGTTATGGACTGCAGTGCTTTTATTGTTGTAGAAATGTTCTTGGAATTATGTTATGACTTGTTTTTCATATAAAAATGTTAAATGCACTTTGTTCTGGAATCAATACACAGTTTTCGGTAATTTTAAAAACAGCCCCAGACATGCATGTGACTGTACCTTGTATCTATATGAAATGGATTTCTCAGGACTGATGAGTATAAAACCAAAATATTGATTTACTTGTCATTCTGCTTTAAGAAATGGTGAAGATGCTATATAACCTGCAGTTTCATATCAACCAACATCTAATTCTTTATGTAAAAAATTAGATATGCTTACAGAGGACTCAAGTTCGGTTCCAAGCATGCACACTGGGTTGTTCACAACTGCTCCTAACTCCAGGTTCAGGAAGATCTTCTGAATTCCTTAGGCATCTGCAGTCACCTGTGAACACACACACACACACACACACACACACACACACACACACACACACACACACACATGCACACACATGAATGGAGAAATGTTTTAAAAGCCTTGGTTTCGACAGTATTCTCCAATATTTCCCTAGCTCTGAGAACTGAATATAAATATGACATCTAACCTCTGTTAACAGTAGCAGAATGAAGTACCAAACCAAATCTATTAGCCAGATATTTCAGACAAAATGACTCACTGTTGAGGAGGGAGCACATGTTTGAGACTGGAATGTTTTTCATTGACTTTAGCAGATAACTGATTACTAAGTTGACCAGGTGATTGGCAGCTCCTGTGTGTGTGTGTGTGTGTGTGTGTGTGTGTGTGTGTGTGTGTGTGTGTTGATGTCTACGCTTGTTCTTTTGAGTATTAAAATTCCTGGGAGGAAACCCCTACTAGAGCTACAGTTACTCTTAAATAAAAACCCTACGTATTCTTGCTGAATGTAGAGATTTTTTTTTAACCCGGTAGGGTTGATCCTCTTTCTTCTTGGTATTACCTAATTTAGCAAGAAGAGCCATGTTGATTGAAAAATCACAAGACAACAAGGGTGCTTCTTTTTGTTTTAAAGTGTGCACCCCCACCCCCATACTTTCTTGATAGCTAAAGTCAGCATTGTGGCTATATATAGTTTATGACCTAATAAAGTCACTGGAGATCAGAATGCAAAGCCAGCCACACCAGTCAGTCATAGAAGCTGGGAGGTGGTGGCGCATACCTTTAATCCTAGGACTCAGAAGACACAGGCAGATGGATATTTGTGAGTTCAGTGCCACCCAGGCTACATGAGACTGAATCAGTCTAAAAGAGAAACAGCTCATGTTTTTAATCCCAGAACTAGAGAGGTATACAAGATAGGAGCAAGGTCTCATCTTAGGCAATTAGTCTCCAGCCACGTTGAGGACAGCATCCCCCTTTCAGCTTTGGTAAGAGCTTTCTGGTGGCTTGGCTGCTTTACTTCACTGATCTTCAGTCTAAACCCTGATACCTGTCCCTGGGTTTTTTTTTTTTTTATTATTTGTGCTACACAGCATCTATGAACTTTTTCTTCATTAAGTTTTGCAAAGGAAAACCATTTACTTGATTAAATAAGACTAGTTGAGTTCTTGAGTTAAAAATATTTATGGGGTCAGTAAAACACACCAGCAGTTGGTCAATGAGAAGAAATGGTGAATAGAAGGTTGTTCATAAGAACAGGATGTTTTAGAATTTCAGTCTTCCCCCTCTAACTGAAGTTGAAGTCCAAATGGTGTGAAATTCAAATGGTTCTCACAAGAAACATATTTACTAGACTAACTAAGAAAAACGAGTGGAAGAGTGGCATTTATAAGGTTCGGGTTGTAGCTTATCTGATTGTGTGTGTGTGTGTGTGTGTGTGTGTGTGTGTGTGTGTGTGTGTGTGTGTGTGTCTGTGGTGTGTTTGTGTATGTAATGTGTGTGTATGCTTGTGTATGTAAATTATGTGTATTTGTATATATCTCTGTGTGTGGTGTATGTGTGCATGTATGTGTGTACATTTCTGTGTGTGGTATATATATATGTGTGTTGGTGTTGTGTGTATATATGTGTGTATGTGTGTGTGTGTTGGAGCATAACTGGAAAATGTGAGACAGGAAGATGGCAAATAGACTATGAGAACTCACAGGAAAGTTAGTCTGATTTACTTCTAGGAGAATGAAGGCCCGAGACAAGAAGGCCAGGAAGAGATTCTGTTCTGGCTTTCCCAAGGTCTCAGGAGCTTTTCCAGGGGGTTTAAAGCACAATTTCCAAAGTGTCCATTGAGCAGTACAATGTTGTCACTCCAAGTTGTTGACAGGGAGAGCTGCAGGTGCTGCTGTAAATTCTCAGGATCTGATCATAAATGCCTACAGGACAATTACTTGGAAATTGTTTTCTTCCTTACTTGGGTTAGCTTGAAATGAAGATGCCCCATTTTAATTTCTTTGGAATGGAAAGCTATCAGAAACAGATATTCTGGAAAACTGATTTAAGCCAATAGCTAACAGAACAGCAGGTGTCTTCAAAATATACTCATGTGTGATGTATGCGTACAGCATGCAATGCCCTGAAGGATATCAGAAATCAGTGTGGCTTTGTAGAGGCAACAGTTGGCTAACATCCTTGTATATCAGGGGTCAAAAAGAGAAAATATTATCTTCTATAGCAGAAGTGGTAAAACAAGTGGTGAAAATGAGTCTCCAATTATTGCTATATACAAATATTAAGAAAGAAAAATTCTGGCCTTTGATGGTATCATGAGTCACATACAACAAAACAGACCCTGCCTGCAGTAGGACCATGGATCTAGACATGGCCCTCAGCTGCAGCCCAGGCCCCAATGTCAGCATGGCACCCTGTGGCACCGACTACAGCATGATCCTCATATCCCCACCTCAGATGACAGTTCAGACCCTGAGTATTTGAATTGCCTTTGTTGGTATCTGAAGTCATGTATATCAACCCAGACCCTGGCTGTGGTAGGGCCATGGACCCAGAGAAGCCCCCTTGCTGCAGCCCAGGCTTGGCTGTCACCGTGGCTGGGGTGGCAGGCAGTATAGGCCATCGAGATTAGCATGGCCCCAGTGAATGAGTGGCCCTCAGAGACCAACATGGGTTTGGGTGTTTGCCCAGATCCCAGTCATCTGTATAGCTTTCAGTGGTTACTGAAGCAATGGACATCAACACAGACCCTGGCTGCTGCAACGGCATGAACCCAGACATGACCCCCAGCAGCATCCCAGGTCCTCCAGTGGCAGCACAGGCAACTCAGATCACCATGGCCCCAGTGGCAGCACTGAACCCTTTCACAGCAAAATGACTACAGGTGGTAGTCACCGGGCATCTCAGTGGCCTTGGTGGCAACATGGGTTATGGACAAGATAGATCCCAACTGTCACAAATCCAGATATATCCGTAGGCAGCTGCCCAGTCCCAGTTGTCACCCTGGTCCTGGGTGGCAAGAAGGCTGCCAACATCAGCCTATTCCTCACAGCTCTTGCTTCTTCAGAACTGCCTTTTACCACAGCACAAAAACCATCCTGCCTCCCTTTCTGTCTCACTTCACTACCATATACTTGCTCATTATATTGGTACCCAACCACTCACTCAGTGCCACAAGACACCAGGAGGACATGTGCATGCTTCAGGCAGCCCAGACCATGAGGACCCAGGCTGCCTTGTGGACGTCTTTCTCCTGACTGAGTCACATAGCATCCAAACCTCTATTTTTTAACAAATAAAAATATTATGCTGTACCATGGACTATGTTGTCACCAAAGCCCACACAGATGCCTGGGGTTTGGGCTGCCACCTGTGGCCTTGTTGGTGTCCAAGGGCCATGCTGCTACTGGGGCCATAATCTGAGTATCCTGTGTTGCTTCCCAGAATCATGGTGACATCCAAGCCACAGCTGCTGCCAAAGACCATGTCTGGATCATGGTCCTGTTGCAGCTGGGGTTGGTCTGTCTGCAGCCTGTGTTACCACAGGGTGGGGGTAGGGCATATGAACCACATGTTTTGAAATCCAAGGGCCATGTTGAGCCTGTCCTGCCCTTCACTGGCCCTTGATCTCACTGGCTGCTGTAGTGGCAGAACTGGCCCTAATCCACACAGAAAAGTGGGGGTGGGGGATGGAGGGGTAGAAATATGTGTGTCCCAACAGAGGCTGGGACTGACCAACTCAGCTACTACTCGGGACCACATCCAGTGCTTTGAGTTGGCCCACCCCAACATCTATCCCATCTATGTCCTGCTGGGGCATGCAAAGGTGCTGGTCCTGTGAAACCAGAGCTGCAGAATCTTCAAGACTTTAAACAGTAGCAGGATATTAGAAAGGAGTTTTGGTGAGGGTTCAGTACTGATAGTATACCAAAAACCAGAGGCCTTGAACCAGACCAACAACTCATTATAATGAACGATTCCAAGTAAGGCTGTTTGGATGAAAGGGTCTACTGTGTGACACACCACAGCTCCCAGTGCCACTAAGATGAGTGAAGAGGTGATGTAGAGGCAGGAGAGATGGAAGAGTGAAGAGTTTTCTTTTCAATTAATTTGTTAATTTAAAATTTTTTCTTTGGGGAGGTGATGCTGCAAGGGTCAAGGGAGGACATGGAGGGACTGGAAATGAGTGGCATTGAGGGGGGCATAATGTATAATTCCAAAGGATCAATACAAATTTAGG